GGGAGGTAGATAAATGATATTGCAAAGCTCAGCACCTTTGGCCACTACGTGAGGCGAATACATACACGGCTCACACAAAGGGAAGAAAAGAGCTTCATTCATAGCTGCTTCTATTAGTTGCCTGAATTTATCGCCTCTTCGTCTAAAACATCCCTCTTTAAGGACAATTCAACTTCTCCATGGGTGGAAAACAACTAATTACAAGCACTCTTGTGCTTTTAATTGAGCAGATTCTTTTCATCAATTCCACCTATAAAAATAACCCCAAAAAAGTGTTTAAATTAGTTACTCTGTATTCACTAAAGTAGAGTTTGGATCAGGCAGACTGCTAAACATAGTGTTTATATTGGGCAAAAGGCTGTACATTACACCTTTTATTAAAAGTTAATGAATAATGTATTGAATTATTTGTATATGCATATGATGTCATCTATTATCACATATTATTTTTTTATAACTTCAATAATATAATTTCAACATATTATAAATATTGATATGTATTGACTTTCAAAAGGCTATAGGCTTTTACAACTAATATTTTTCAATGTTACCTTCAACAAGCAACTTCGCATCTACTTTAGTCACATTGAAGTTAGCATGTTTTTCTTGCTCCACGCCTCAATTTTCTTCACACATTTTTCTGGAATCTGTGTTTTTGGAGCAAACATCTGTTGGATCTCAGACTTACAGAAAACACTGAGAACACACAGCTGGGTTTTTTTTGGGGGGGGGGAGGTGCCTGATCTTTAAATGTCCGAGGCCGCCAGTTGGTCTGCCATGTAATCAGAGTTGAACTTGGAGAAGGAAAGAAAGTGATGTCCAACACAAGATGAGAGAGTGTGTGTGTGTGTGTGTGTGTGTGTGTGTGTGTGTGTGTGTGTGTGTGTGTGTGTGTGTGTGTGTGTGTGTGTGTTCGTGTGTGCGTGTGTTCGTGCGTGTGTTCGTGGGGGGGGGGTCTTCCGTCGGCAGGACAATAGACAGTGGCAGCAGCAGCTGACCAGAGAATCCCTTCTTCTTTTGTCATGGTGTATAATGACGTCTCCACCACACACACTCTCTCTCTCTCCCTCTCTCTCCCCCATCACTACTCATCCCCCCTCCCTCCCTGCTTGATTTGGCATCAAGAGACTTCTGCATGTTCTTTCTCTCTTCCATCCTTTTTCCTGGCATCTCTCCTTTAGCCATTCCTCCCCTGTGCACAGTTCTCTCTATATATCATTGTCTGTGTGCATGTGTCTTTCTATGTCTGTGTTTGTGCAAGTACGTGGGTTTGTATATGTGTTTTGCAGCCTTTTCTCCTAAAGAATGTAACCTCTGAGACGCTCTCCAAACTCAGTAAATATCTCCACTACAGGCCATATGTTATCTGTGTGTGTGTCCAGCTCCCATCTGTGTGCAACCTGTGTGTATTGACGTCTGTTTCGCTTTGTGCAGCATGTTCTTGCCTTCCCTCTATCCACTTTTGTATTTTCTCTATCTGTTTTTGGTTAAGTGTAGGATTTTTTATTTGCAGCGGTGGAAGAATTTGAAATATCTAAAAGCTCCATTACAACAATGTACCAATAAGCCATGCTTCCAAATTTAGAAATAAATATTCTCAACAAAACCAATCATAAGTAAAAGCAACTCTGTAAATGATACTTGAGTTTAAAGAACCCCATGGTGGTTAGATGACTATTGGGGGAGCACAAAATGTGAACAGTTCTGTTAAATAAACCATGGTAGGGGTAATGGAGCAAGTCATTTTTAGTGGAACTGCAAACATAGGTGTGGACATCATATGGACAAACCGGGCCTCCTAACTATAGGCCAACTTACTGCCTGATTAAATGTACTTGGTGAAAAATATTTTTCCAGGGAAATTTAATTAAATTAAACTGCTAAAACAAGCCGGAGCCTAAGCAGGTGTTAAAGTTAAAGGTCTGCTGAGGGCCTGGCTGAGGGTGAAACGTGCTTACAACAGTGTGGTGGAAGACTGGAGGTATTCGGCTTCATTCGGACAGTAGGGGGAGTATTCTGTATTGTGAGGGAAGATGGAGGTCTGGTTTTATCATTTGAACGGTCCTGAATGTTAAAGATATGTCCACAAATTGAACTTTTGTACATCAATTACTCAACTGTTGTTACCTAAAATCATTGTAGAATATTTTTGTTTTTCTCGTATTCCTCAAAGGTGAACAAAGCATCAAAAAATGAAGAAGTGAAAATGAAGTAGACGTTTAAAAAAAAAAAGCAAAACTCTATTTAAACATCCATTTACAAACTCTTTCACAGTAATTGCAGGGTACTCTGTTTCCAGTTGTATGCTCACTTCTACCAAAACACTAACCATGAATTGTGTAGTAATGAAGCATTCTGGTTAACTTAAGATGGTTTGCCAAGTTGGGAAAAGCAAGACGCTAGAGGTTTCTCAATACTCAAATTTCCCCTCCTCGACTCCTCGAGACTTGGTGCCGCCCACAGGAGATGCGAGCGGAGGACTGAGGAGGGGAACCGAGGAGAGGAGTGGAAGCAGCAGGCGGTTAGAGAAATGAGAACTCCTCTCCTCTGAGCGGTCATTTTAAAGAGACGCCCATTAATGATGACAGGAGGCACAGCAGCCCTCTGTCTGATGGACAGATGTGTTCATGACCACTTATATATTTACTTTTAATTCATTGACAGTGCGGTATAATGAGAAAATAACAGGCTACAGATGCGGACATATACACACACACACACACACATATATTTATATAAATATTTACAATTTCAGAATCAAACAAGTATGAGAGCACTCTCATAATAACGTAACACAATCAGAGACTGGATATATCCCCCCTTCTCTCTGGTCGCTGAAATGGGGAATTGAAATTACGGGCCAAAAGTTGTACAAGTATTAAAAGTAAGCATAGGACCCCAAACCAACTGAGACCCGTCTGTCCGCCGCATCTACGCACTGTACAACACACACCTACACACTGTACCAAACACACACACACCTACACACTGTACCACACAGACCTACAGCTCCTAAAGCATAATCAGGCTATACAGCCGTTGTGTATTTTATTATGTGAAGCAATAAATGGTCTTAGAAAAATATCGACTCTTTGTTTGTAGATATCTACTAAACTAAAGCATACAAATACAGAAAGTAATGTAGGCCTGTTATACTGAGTGATATATATTTTAAACACTGCTCTGCTTTCTGCACGGACCTCACAGCTGTTCTCACTGTAAACATTGCGTTGCGATGAAAGCAGTTACTAAAATAATATCCAAGGGATGCATGCAGAGCTGTCATTGGCTGAGATAAGTCCGGCCGTGCGTCACCCCTCCACCGTTCCCGGAAATGCTTCCGCGGAGGAGCCGTGGAGGACCCATCAGTGTCTCCTCTGTTAGAGCTCCTCCAGAGAGCCTCCTCGATGCTCGATGCTCGGTCTTCGAAGTGCATTTAGAGAAATTAGATGTCCTTCAAAATGGCGCGCTGAAATTCATTTCCGGGTCACTACCGGAGGACCGAGGAATCGAGGAGTCGAGGAGGGGAAATTTGAGTATTGAGAAACCTCTGAGCTGATGTGAGGAACCAGCATGCTGGGAATTTTTCCTGCCAAACATGTGTTTAACTCAGCCTGTCTATGCAAAGTTCTGCATACTCGAAGTTATCGCTTCCTCTCTCTCTTCATGGGAACTTGCTCTTTCTCCTCTCCTGAAAAGCATACTGAAGTGTGTCAATACGGCCTCTCAGTGTGTGTGTGTGTGTGTGTGTGTGTGTGTGTGTGTGTGTGTGTGTGTGTGTGTGTGTGTGTGTGTGTGTGTGTGTGTGTGTGTGTGTGTGTGTGTATGTGTGTGCGTGCGTGCGTGCGTGGGTGGGTGTGTGTGTTTTTGGTTGCACCAGGTGATATGGCCTGGTACGGAAGGTCACCGCTGTGATGTCACTTCCCTTTCCTTTCCGGATATTCCCAGCATTCTCCTGCCAGCAGCCGGGAACTCTGGGAAATAAGAGCAGGAAGCCTGGCTCCTTCGAGAGAGAGGTGGGAGGGTTAATATTATTAACTTATTTTTAACATTGAATCTCTTTGTCTACTTTAAATACATGTTATTTTGTTATTTCAATACGCGAACCCTGTTTGTTCTGCTTCTTTAATAGATTCTACTAGTTTGTCACTATTTCCTATTCTCCATACAGGACCTTATACACTAGGAAAACATTGAACACATCCTTAGAAGGAGATCTGATTCTCAGAAATGCTAACTTCAATTGTACAGAACGAATGTTTCACATGACTTATTTCCTATTTGTTAAACAAGTTGCTTTGAAATAGTTGCAATGTTAAGTGACTCATTTTCTATAGAAATACAAACTAAAAACAAACCTTTGAGGATGGAGCTATTGTGAATTCTTGGTGTCTTTTTTGTGTAGGCCTATTTCAGATTTTGTGAAATACATGTCGATCATCTGTAAATAGAGCAATATCGCCCCCTCCTGACTAAAGCCACTCAATGACAAACAAAGTGGAATGTGGCAACGTACATTTCCCAAGTAGGCTACTGTACTCGAGTACAATTTTGAAGTTCTTGTACTTCACTTGAGTATTTTCATTCCTTGTTACTTTATCTTTCTTCTCCACTACTTTTCAGGCAAATATTATACTTTTAATTATTGTAATTTATACTACATTTATTTGACAGCTGTAGCCTAATCAACTTTGCAGATCCAAATGATTATTACTCAAATATATTTAAATTATCAATTATGGTGTATTTTTAATAAGGCTACCTAGAAGTTAATAAAGTATTTGAGATTAGCGCCACCTTTATTAGCAACACATTTGAATATATACATATATATATATACACATATGAATGCATCAGCGTTTAATCGGATAATATAGTTTATATTTTCGTCTCAAATTAGTCATGTTGCATGGCTTTGCAAGTAAAAAATAGCTAAAGTTATGAGAGGAGACAGAGTCACGTGGTCAAAGTTGTTTACCACGTGTTCTGAGTCTGCGCGTCACTTCTAGAAAAACGCAGCCGCCGGGGTGAGTTGGGGCAGCTAGTGCTTGTTGTTTTTATAGCTAACGCTGTACTTCAGGAACCAAACTGCCTGCCGCGGTGCTTCATATTACGCCGTCAGCTCAGCTGACTCACCAGAGGGACATTTAGATCAAATACAACTCTGGCAAACAGCTGACAGCAGAGAGCCACACTGTTGGAGCTTCTTCAAAACAGCTAGCATCAGCTAGCGGAGCAAAGCTAGTCTGCTAGTTGCGTAGCAGCAATGGAGTGGCTTGGTAACAGCGCTTTACTTCATGATGAAGAGTCGAGCAGTGACCCAGCTCGAGCAGCCAACGGCTTCATCGGTGTTCATCCTCACCAGCAGGTAATAACCTCACGCTAGAGGTCGGGTCGTTGTTGACGAAATAACTACCTTCTTTGGCATCGCTGAGGTAACCTAACGGTATTAAAAGCATGCTAACTAGCTAAACCTGTTTAGGGATGAGTAAAGTTGGTTCATGACAACTTTCATTGCCTGAAAACAACACATGTGCTTGAGCATGTTTTTCTACGTGTATTCAGTGGATCAGTTTCTACCATCTGTCATTTTATTAGCAGCTAGCTAGCATATAGCGTGCAGACAATAACTGTCACCAGGGTCCAGGCTGCATGCCAGAGTGAATGCTGACCTCATGTCCACCCAGTTGCTCTAGCTATATATTAAGCTAGCTATACATTCTTACACATCGAAATAGAATGCAGATCTCAGGCTGTCCCGATCCTGTCAGGACATACTATCAGCTCCAGAGAGAGATCATGTATATGTGAGATGGGGAGATTAAGAGGCCACATCATCACATGAAGCAGCAGCAGCTCTCCTTCTCAATTTAATCCCACAGGTCCTCAACATTATCAGACATTGACAGCTGTGTGTTCTGCTGTCTGTTGTTGACTAGAATAGGATTTAGATGTTTTGGGAGCCATGATCAAAATGGAAAGTATGTTATTTTTAGCCCTCTCGCCCCACCCTGTACCAAACACAGCATGGTTGTGGTTGAAAGCTCTTGAACCAATGGATTGCATTTCTTTTGTGATTGAGTGTGAGCGAAGAGCCTATCTATGGAAAAAGTGTAATTGGACTATTTAGAAAACTTGGGGAGGAAGAGCATCATGAGGATGTTGTTTTACTGCAGGATTATTAAATAAGCAGAACCTATACAAGTAAAAGTGTGTATTCATTTACTTTAGATTTGCACCCTTTCCTCTATTCTTGTGAAAACATTTCAATGTATTTTGTGTGTGCATAATGTTGTAACAGAATAAAGGAACGGCACTGAGGTCATGTGTTTGTTTATTGCAAGCAATATCATTTTTGGATATTCAACAATGTCATCGCATAGTATCCTCATATCATACAGCCCTTACTTTTGAAGCGCATTAAGTCCATGCCTGTTGCATTAGATATGCTATTTAAATATACTTGACTTGGTTTAGTGGTACAAAGCACACCTTGTATGTAATAAATGTGTATGTGATGAGGATTAACTATCAATTTGACTCAACTCTCTGACAGTATATTACCTTTCTCTTAGTCCTAATATCTGTTTCATCTGTTCTCCTCCCATCAGTCACCGTTGTCGCACCGCTGTGATTGTGCCATGGCGTCGCTGTGTCAGGGCCGCTGTGTGAAAGCCTCCATCGTGTCCAGCTGGAGACTGGCTGAGGCCCAGGATCAGCTCTGCTCCCTGGGCGTCCACAGCTCAGAGTCCCTGGAGCAGGAGCGTGCTCGGACAATGGCCTGCCCCACCGAACTCACGCACACTGAGGAGGAGTGGCGCCGCAAGGAGAGCATGCTGGGAGGTCAGGAGCCCAGCCGCAGTCCTGTGCTCGGAGCTGCCAGTAGTTGGGACGTTTTTGATAAGGTAAACTATCCGTTTTGTGTGTGTTTGCTCCACAATTTAAGTGAGCTCTCATGACTCATAGAGATGACATGGAGTATTTAAATAGAGCATTTATATTGTGTTGATTATTTACATGTTCTTATTTAACTGTATACTTACTGTCTGTAACCATTTTCTTTATAATATCAGAAGTTAGTCATTGTCTTTTCTGTCTTCCAGAGTATTATCAATGTTCAACATCTCCCTGAAGATATGGATCAGGAAAAGTGCAAGACGTTTCTTCAAAAGTTTGACCAAGAGCTCCGGCATTTTGGTAAATGAGACTTCAAATATAAAGTTTCTTTCATGAATTGTCTTGCCCTCATACTTGTTGGGACTTTTAGTTGAATAAAATGTGTTGAAGGCAACGTCTGTTATGACTAAAATCAACTAAGTACAAGAGGAGGTTTATAATGGTGGATAGAATTTGGAGTGCACATTTGACATGTAGGATTTGGGTTAAGTTATGTTCTTTGACAGCCACAGGCAACTAGGTGAGGACTTAAAAGTTGGGTCAGCTTTTTGTTTTGATATGTATGTACTACGGCCTTTTTAAAGATTTGCATGCACCTGATTTGTGTTTAACAGTAAACCTTTTTTGTTTCCAGCCAACATGAACCGTTATGCTTTTTATCTTTGTGTCAGGTATGTTGCACAGATGGGATGACAGTCAACGATTCCTTGCAGAGATGCCTCAGATCATCTGTGAGGAGACGGCAAACTACTTAATTCTGTGGTGCATGAGACTACAGCAAGAGGGGGTAATGTACTGAAAAAACCCGGTTGTTGTTATTTATAAAAACAAAACCTGTAATATGTGTAGTCAAAGCCTGATCCAGTGAAATACTCCAAACACGTTTTAAACATAGAACCACTGCCTGAGCATGTTCACAGACATCTTGAAAACACAGTTGTGGAGTCATTTTAGATTAGAATGCATCTGGCCATTTTCATTAGTGTAATCAAAGTGTTTCACTTGTCAAAGTAGTACAATAAATCCAGAAATGACATAATACATATGTTTTTGAACATGACATCAAAATGGTGTTTTGTCCTGCAGAAAGAAGCCCTGATGGAGCAGGTGGCGCACCAAGCTGTCGTCATGCGCTTCATCCTGGAGATGGCCTCGACCTCTCAGCAGGATCCAAGAGGCTGCTTCAGACACTTCTTCCACAAAGCCAAAGTAAGACCAAACATGACCTGAGATGAATCCCCTCGATCCCCAAAACTGTCCTCTCCTGGGTTAAAAAGGCGAAGAGGAGTTTGTATAAATGTAAATGGTTTAATATTTAAAGCCCCCGTTTGGACTCCAATATGGGTAACCTTTCAGGACATTTCGTTTGCCTTTTTCCCAATTTTTGTATTTCGTTATAATGCACAATACATGTTTAAGTTCTCCTTAGCTCCAGCCATGATTGTACTGTCTCCATAGGGGTGCAGGAATGATATATTACAGTTAAAAAGCAAGGGCATGGTGATTTAAAATGAGATGGGTGCGAAACACTCCGTGACACAAGTTTGCTTAAAGCTATGCATGTTTTCTAATATTGTCGCTTTGTTGTTCCGTAGGAAGGACAAGACGTCTACTTAGAAGTCTTCCATTCAGAGCTCGAGGCCTTCAAACAGAGAGTGAGAGAATCCGCACTCAGGTCCAGATGTGACGCACTCCATAATGTAGAACCACAACAAAGTGACACAAACTGCAGAGTTAAACCCAAAGAAGCCCTGGACTCGTTTCCTATAGTAAGTGCTTTTCCTCTTCACAGGCTGCAGTTCCTCTACTCAGCTGGCAGATGGCGCCACTGAGTTACGGAATGTTAGTGCTCTGATAAATGGAGAACTCATAAGGCTTTAGTTGGATGCTGGATTTTAGAGCATCAGCATTCGTATTCTATTTTTCAGTGGTATAATTCCCACAAAATATGCAAATAACAATTTTCACATACAGTAAATTGTAAAAGTGCACCAGGGAAAAATGCATGGGAAGTCAGAAAACCTGTGATAAAACTCAAGTAAGCCCTCCAGCAGCTGCCCAAAGATGGAGTTCATTATGTGTCTCTTTAAAATCCTAACATCTGCCACACAGAAACTTTGATAACGGAGCAGTAGTGCGAAAGGGAATAGTCAATATATTTCTCTTGTGTTGCATCAGTGTGTCACCCTTAAGCAATTATTGTAACTTGTTACAAGAAAGAAAACCAAGTCAAAACTTCCATTCTAATGTATGGGCTAAATAAACCGGTTTTTTCAGGGGTTTGCTTTGCAAGGCTGTTGAAATAAACAGACGCAGTATAACAATCTAAAAGTTTCTTAAATGGCGATGGAGAGAGCCTCGGGGTGATTAACATCTGTGATAAAGAAAGAAATGATTATATTATATGTATTACTTGGTTATACAAATGAATTCCTGTTTCAATAGATAGTAGCCTCACCATCAGTGTTCCATCTAATCATCGTATCAGCAGCGTAGGTATCACAGTAAATCCCCACTCAGACGTTATTATTCTCCTACGTCAGTGGTGTATTAGCTCCAATGTGAGCACATAATCACTGGACAGAAGCCTGAGGTATTTTGTTTTAATCTATTTCACTATTAAGAATAAATCATTTCCAAATAGCATATTCCACATGCTGGCTACTTAACCTGTATCTCTGTAGTTTGTAAGCCTTTAGTTGGCGAGACAGAAAGAGGCCTCCTCCCCTCCGTGGGCCTCGCAGCTTGATAGGCTGCCAAAACTTCTTCTCGGGGAAAAAAAGAAAACACTTCCTCCCCCCCCTTCTCCCACACAGGGAAGATGGCTACTCAGGAATGTGATCAAGCCTGTTGAAAGTGAAGCTCCTGGTCCCGTTGCTTCTCTGTGCTTCGGTTGTTTGAACTTGTAATCAGTCTCTGAGTGGTGGTTTGCAGAGAATAAGTACACGAGAAGCTGCTCTCTTTTAAAGAAAAGCACATGTTTGTGTGTTTTAGTTCATGGTTAAAATCTCTACTGAACATTTGTGAATTCATGATCATCTAAGCTTAAACTCAGATTAGGGCATGATATAATCCTCTAACTAGGCGACAGGGATCTCTCCATCCGTCTTTCTCCAGCCACATTCAGACTGATTTTGTGCATGAGGGTAAAGTTACACTGTGGAGCTTTACTTATGTATAACCTGCCTTCTCCTGAGCTTCCTGTATTGATAAAGTAACAACTAAAGTAACCTGTGAATGTTTTTTGATATGAAATGGACTCTCTCCCCCTCCTCTAGGTGTCCGAGTATCCCAAGAAGCGTTACATAGAGGACGGACTGTGGACAAGCACAGGGAGGTGGACAAAGGACGACGGTGCAGAAACGGACGATATGCGCATGATGGAGACCTCCTAGGCTCCTGCTTCTCCTCCATCTCCACCGCCTCCCCATTTAGGAGTTTTAAAGTCCTCTATACCCAGCAGAGCAGAGCAGGAATAAAAGGAGACTTGATCGGTCTTTCACACTGCAGGAAACAATGTTTTGCCGATAAGAAACATTCCTCGGTGTTGTCCATACTGTGGAGTTCCTGCAGTGTCTCATGACGGCTAAAAGCACGCGTAGCAACATAATCCTGGTGGTGCAGATGGATTTCTGATATCCTTTAAGCTGGTTGCATTTTTGATTTCTCCTGGAGAAAAAGGGAAACCTTACATGGTAGGAAAAAAACAACAACAATTGATCATTTAAACCAGGCAATACAAATAATACTAAACCACTTATTTGGGCAGTTAGGAACCAAATCCCTGAAGTAGGACTCAGGTTAGTGGACTTGAAAGGAATATTGTAAACGCTGCTTTAATGAATCGTGGACAGCATGACTGACAGATGCTGGCTTTTTCTGAAGATTTTCATTTAATAGAAACAACTGATCATGTAGCACCATACTGTAGCTACTGTAAAACACACAAGTCAGTTGTCAAACAGTCTGGATCATGAGAAAGTTCACCTGTGGTGTTTCGCCTGGAACGGAAAACAAATATCCTTCCCGGCAAATGTACACGTTTTCTCAATCTAATGTCAGTCGGCGTAACTTTTTATATTCGGTAAAAAAAATGCTTGTGTTTGAATGGCGTGATGTTTGAATCGGTAACAAAAACAGAGAGCACAAGCGCTCCAGTTGGGCTAACCTGGGTTTGTGTTTTCTCCAGCAACTTGTTTGGCTATAAGGAAATGACGGTATAGGAGTAAATGGTTTGTTCAACAGGTCAGATTCATCTCACGGTGTTTGGACTCACAACTGACTTGCATGTATTAAGCAGCACAAAGGTATCTGGCTCTTTAACAGGAGAGGATAAATAATGCAATCTGTTTGGAAGGATAGGCAGTTAGCTGCAGAGTTGGGAGGAATTAAGATTGTTGGTGCAACATTTACTTTGCTTTTGTCAATCATTATTTTGTTGACAGCTGCCTCTTTGGATTTAAGTGAATCAAGAGTTCAATGATGGTAATCTTTGACCGCTTTGCTGAGTGGCTGACAGTCAGGAATTATAACTTCTCTAAAGATTACACTAGAGGTGGTTTTAATGTTTAAGTTCTTCTGAAAAAATAAGTAGTTATTTTGTTTTCTCGTGAGGCTTAAGGCGTCTTGGTAATCAGACCTCCTCCTTGACTACATCTTCCATTCACATGCAATTTACTCAACACACGTAATGGCTACAAAGTCCATTGAATCTCAAGTCCACATACAGCAACAGATGTTGATAATCATTGTTTACGTGGCTGACTTTGCTCTTATTGTCCTCTTCTGTGACATCATAATCCACTCTTTACAGCAATAGTCAGTTGCTTATTTATTTAAGCAGCTTAACATAATGCAGCGATGAATAATGAGCTATAGACAATAGTGCATTTTCCAACTCGGCATTTATTACTCGACAAAGCACACCGGTTTTGATGCAAAGAGGGCGAAAGTCAGGCAAAATGTTATAAGGAAGTTTGAGGCAATCTTGGTCTCTAGTGTTAACAGCAAAAAATATCTTCTACTATCACTACTTTTGTTTAGTTTATACATGTATTTGACGATTTTAAAATCATAGCCTCAAATTTGACACAGGCAATGGTTTAGCTTACATTTTCTCTACCAGCTTCCCTCAACATCTGGAACATCTGTCAGTCTCCTTTTATACCAATGCTCTGCAGACTGGACTCAGAGGTGTGTTAAAGTTTTCTTGGAAGTACAACTAAGGAGCTGAAAGCATGTGTGTGTGGGGGGGGCGGTCTTTTTAAGAGCCTTGTGCTGTAAGCAGAAAGGAAGTCTGTGTCTGAATGTGTCCTGCACTTTATATCTGTTTGCCGTTAAAAAAAAAAAGAGTTCGAGGTGGAGTGTGAATAATATTTTTCCTCATACCGTTTGGTTTTGTTTGTTTTTTTGTTGTGTTCCCAGTCATCCTATCTCTTTCTTTCATTTTTATCTTACAAGCAGGCTTCAGGTGAGCTTGATTTGTTTGACATTTTGGAAGACTTTAAGAGAGCTTTTGCCAGATTTATCAGGCTCCCAATAAACTGTCCAATTCATAATCATTATTTAAGACAGTCAAAACTAGTGTGAAAATATGCTGACCGACACAATCAGTGACATTTTAGCTGCAGACTGTTGAGTTAAAGGTACCGTAGGATACATTAAAGTACAATTCACGTTATTATGACTTGAAGCTTCTGTGTGATGCAATGTTGCTTCTGCAGTGTGCCTGTCATTTCATTCTTCATTGTTTCACAGATCTGCACAGTGCACATATAAGAAGTATCAAATACTGTAAACATAAACGGAGGTATTGTAAGCAGTGGAACTAAAACGATGTGTTGTTGTGATCCTAAATGTGTTTTTGTTTTCTTCTTTTTTTTTAGTCACATATCAACTATGCAATATAATTGTATGGCTTAAGCTGTTCTTCTGAACCTGCGGCTACTATCTACGGTGTTTCAACATCCTCAATGATTTAAAGATTATCACAGAATTTGTGAGACTGACAGTATAAGAATGTCTGTCACTAAGCTATAATCTGTAGGACATCTAGTTATACACTTCTCAAGGCTACTGTAAGAATTGGTTTCTCTTGCTGCTGTTAACTCAAATATAAAACAAAGTGCTAAATGTTTGTATTTTGTTGTTGACTGCTACAGTTCTTTGTTAAATCTGATACATTTATTAGATGTTTGTTGAGAGAACTAAGTAGTGAACATTTGATAAATTGTGGACTTCTGTAGCTAGCACTTCATCTGTGCTTGGAGCCGATACTAGCATAAGGCACCCAGAGCCATGTGAAAGTATGTGTTCAGTTGCATTCTGGATAATGTAGGCACCAATAAAAATAAAAATAAAAAACCTCTTGTTTGTTGTGTGTCAAATTCATACATGAGTCAGACAGTGTTGGAAAGCAGCTGAAGAAGGCTACTTTAACTGTCAGATCATTCTAATAATTATATCAATGACTGCAGAGGTTATTCAGTACTGGTTTACAATAACACACTACATTCAGTAAACCAGCGTCCGGTTTATTGTGATTCTTAATGCAACTCATAACACAGTTGTCTACGAAGAGGATGTGCTTTTTAGCATTGTATTCAAGTGTTAAAGAAATACACAGTAGAATTCAGGACACATTCACTGCATAAATGAGGCTACAGTACATTTGCAGGGCACATTAGCATTTATGTGGCTTTTAACATGACGTAACACAGAACTGATGTTATTTCAATGAAGTTGTCAAGACACATTAAATGGCAAATATCAGTATACATTTATAGAATTGGTTGTCATGAGGAATGTCTGGTTAACATGGAATCAATGGGGTGTATTTAATACTAAAGGTGGTCAAAAGAAGCTGTCACATGATTGTTTTTAATTAAAATAATTAAATATTCCAAATAATAAGTTTGGTTTATTCTAGGGCTGCTCGATTATGGCAAAAATCATAATCTCTATTAGGGTCAATCATCAATAATTGATGTCACGATTATTAAAAACGATTATCCATTTACTTTGAAAACATCAATTTATTGGAGAAAAAAAAATGTGAACAGTATGTTTTTAACAGTTGATTACCCTGAACTTTAAGTATAATTCAACTGAGAAACAAATAAAAATAAAAAGTAATTTGAAAAAAAATTACGTTGTTTTCGTAATCGTTTCAAGCCATAATCGTAATCGCGATTAAAATACAATTAATTGAGCAGCCCTAGTTTATACATTATTACAAGCAGAAAGAGGCACTTAAATGCTAAAGTGAATTGGCAGTAATTTGTTAAACATGGCACAGTTCCCTTTAGTATTTTCCCACTGCATAAAACACATCCCCAAGGCAGTTATGCCAGGGCAAAAAGCCCATACATATTGCTTTCAAAGGATTACAAAAAAATGAAATGTCTCTAAAAATATCTTGTGTGTGCCCATTATTTTCACCAACAAAGAAAAGTATTAATGATTGCATTTAGAAACACTAAAACTTCTTATTTAGGAACAATGATTTTCTAATATCTGTTTCATTAAAGTCTCCTGGCTTTATAAAGGCACATTTCTATATAAAGAGACAATACCATTTTCGAAGTAGGCTACTTTATGTACACATGTTAAGAGTTCTTTTAAGTCAATAGCATTGTTGAAACAGTGCAAAAGTGGAGGCTTTTCCAAGTACATCTGTTGTCTTACTAACACTTCCTGACATACTCTATGAGCTCTTCACTTTGAACATTCAGAATATATTATTGCACAGATAGCTCTTGTTTTACAGAAAGAGGCACCTGATTGGACGATGTGAGTACAGTGGTTTCTGCTGGTAAACTTTACCCCTTCTTGTGCTTTCCTGATCAGGCTGTCTTCTATGCGACTTTCTGTTTGACGGAGAAGAGTTTTTTGTGGAGGAAAGCCTCGACGTGCGGCCAGATCATGTTGGTTTCTGTCCCAGTGAAGGTCTCTAGCACACCGTTACTCCTGGGGGGGTTGGAAAAAACACAGAAAATACAGCCTTAATGTTATATTTTCCTCCTTTTAAGTAAATCTATCTTCTTGTATCCCCAGCCATCTTTTCTGTTCTTCCTTGGGGAAAGGATGAACAGCCTCTGAAACATTGTGGTCAAAATAAGTGGGACACAAGCTAAGCACTATGTGAGGTTTGAGGGAACTGAGAAACATGTTTTCCTGCCTAATTAGTCCAGAAATAGAAATCATGATGCGCATACAAACTGGGTCCACAGCCTAATTTCTCTAGTGTTTGTACTTTTGCCAGAGTTTTCCTAATTATTTGGGGAAATATTTGTGAATTTGAATAACAAAAGCACTTAGTTAGACACAAAGCCTGTCCCCTTGGAATGTGGTTCTTAAGCGGTTGTTAGGCATGCCTCCAGCAGTGAGGAATGTGCAGAAAGAGGCCGAAGGTCAAAGTTCATCAACATTTGGGTGTAGCCCTTTATATATGGAGTATATGGTCTATGGGTGTAGCTTTGTAATGCATTATTGGGGCTAACACTTGGTGTGAGGTTAACGCTGTAATGCAGTCAAACACGTGCCTGTGTTTCTTCTTTAGGTTCTTTGTGTATGGCTGCAGGGTAAGTTGTTAGTATATGCAAAGTCTGAATGTATTTAATTTGAGACATATGAAACAGGGTGGCGGTGATTTATGAGTACTACCTGTAGTACTCTAAGACGGGCTCTGTCTGGTTTTCATAGGCCTTCAGTCTCAGTGTGACCGTATCAGGTGTGTCATCGTCCCTCTGGACCAGAGGCTCCCCTGTCTCATCATCCAAACCCTGAACAAAACACAAACACAGGTTGTTGCTGACTTAAATGGTGAGAAACCGGTGAGACAGGTAGAATATTGTAGCGTCCATTTGCTGCAGGATACAGACACAGTAAAGGGACTCGAATGTAAACACTTCTTAAGAAACACAGATGTTGGCTTTTAAACCAGCTGACCTAGAAAAGAGACCAGGCTGAAAATAGGAAAAGCTGAATAACGTTAAAAGGCATTTGCTGTCTAAGCTATGTGTTGCCACTGTTAGCATGTAGAGTTTAAACATTAGCCAGAATAGCAGAAACAGTTAGGGGATGTATGCCAGCATTTTGTCCTTTATAACCACATTTTGTCCGGAACCACAGGTCTGTTTCAGCAGGAAAAGCACAGGAGCTGCTAAAATTAACAATGACTCATGATAGTAAGCTTGCATGCACAATAACAGGACCCTGATACTGGAGCAGATAAATGGATCGTCATTAATTTTGTAATTTATGATGTGTTAAAGGTTGTGAAAGGGGTTTAAATCTTCCTTGGCATGAAAAATTCCACTTACCATGAAATAAAGTAGAATTTCTGACATTAACAGGCTAGCAAACTGATTTTCAGTAGTTAACGTTTGCCATTTTTATCTGCCAGCTTAGATTAGCACGCTCACATTTCCTCACTAAACACAAAGTACAGTGAGACTGATTGTAATGTCATTAGGTTTTGAGGTATAACTTGTTGCATGAATGAGTGAGCCGGAAATGAGTTAGCATTTATGTTAACTAACAGATTTTGCGACTCCGCTAGTTAACCAGCACAACAAAAACGTATCTGCACAGTAGCAGCTATATTGAACTGCCTTTTTAAGAAAGACTAGAATGAAAAGTCAAGGTCTATGTGTTATTTTGTTTTTGACATTATCTCAAGGCAGTGTGAAAGAAACGCACAAAATAAACGGTCAAAGTTTTGGTCTGAGACATACCCCCTTGAGTGTTTCAGCAGATGTTGTTTTTCAAAAACAGTTCCAGGAATATGACAGTGCCTTTAGTTTACCAAGAGAGCTTGCACATTCTCTAAAGAGCACTTCTGGGTTGTGAGGGAACAGCAGGGAATGCACTGACCCAAAAAATCTGCATGAAATTAATGATTCACATTTGCAACACTTAAGTTATGCCTCAAATAATTTAAGCTGTTTAAGGGCAGGGGCTTAAAGAACTAAAGAAAGACAACAAAATTGGCATTGACTTTATAGGTTAAGTTTCACCTTGTCTGTTTCTGATATAGTGTTTTCTCTCAAAACAGGGCTTTGAAGAAAAACCAAAGCCAATGATTAACTGTAGCTGTCTTTCTCCTCCAGACTGCAGGAAATTTTGCAGGAAGGTGCTAAAAATCAGAGCCACAGAGAGAACACGTGACCGCCAGCAGTCACACATAAACAGGTGCCCAAACCCAACTTTGTTCATTTGATCCGTGCATATATGGAAACATACTGACAAGACCTGAAAACGGGATATGTGAGAGGTGAGAGAGGATGTATTTACAGGGACTTTAGGCGGGTTGAAATCCACGTTGTAGACTCTGCCGGTGGGAAGGTGAGTCCAGCGTGAAGTGAGCCTCTGTTTGATGGTCTGGAAAGGTACATTGAGGTTGATGACTGTGTCCACACTGTGTGCGTCATCCAGAGCTTCGGCCTGGGGTACTGTACGAGGGAATCCTGGTCAAGAAGCAGACAGACAAAAGTTGAGTGAGGTAAGGATAAGATAAATTGGTACCACTTTACAATAAGACAACCCTTATAAAGGGTTTACAAATAGTTTGTAATTCATTTATGTATTAGGTTGTGAACACTTTATAAATCATTAATAAGCTTTTATAAGACCTGAGATAAACAGGGCAACTGTGATCGGTTGCTTGCCAAATAGTGAGCCCTTATTATTATAAATGGTAGTAACTCATTAATAAATGGGAATGTGTTTTACACTTTACAACAAGACTCCCTTTTGGCAGTTATAAATGTTAGTAACTCGTAAATAAATGTTCATAAGAGATGCCAAGAAACATCAAGATGGATGGGGGGAGGATCAACTCACTGAACAACAGATACCAAGAATGCTGGCCGATGAAGAAGACAAAGTAAGCTAGGTAGCCAATATAAGGCTTAGCAGTACAGTTAAATGTGGGCTCACTATTTGGC